TTATCTAAAAAATCCTGGAAATCCTTTTGTTTTGGTCGAAATCTCGTACGCGAAATGCAAGAGTGAATTTCCCATCAAAAATCACTATAGCAGATGAAATGTGAGTGTATCTTGCCCATTTTCCAACATTAGTTAAAGGAAATTACAAAGTGAACAAAATTGAGCCGTATGAAGAAAACAAACAAAGCATAGGTATCGATGCTGAATTGGTTGAAAGTATGAAAGAGTTGTTTGACTGCTGAATGAATTTAGTTGACAAGATAGGATAGTGTTTCACTTAGTAGCTAGCTCTTAAAACACGTTCCATTTAAATGCTTAATGTTTGCGAGCAAGATATTCCATTTTCAAATGGTTAAAAACTTAGCTATGATTTTTCTAAAGTGCAAAAAATTTCGGCCGGTAAAATTTCGGACAGTAAAAATTTCGGAAGCTGAAAATTTCTGACGCTCGAACTGTCCAAAAAAATTAGCGTCAAACATTTTTGGCATTTAACAAAATCTTTTACATATGTTGGATAAAAAAGGAAAGCATGTATTAATTATAAATTTGGAGAGTTCAAAGTATTTTGATTTGAACAAGTCTGGAGTGGAAGCAGAGATCTCGAGACGTAACGTCGAAAGATCCTCCATGTCAATATCTTTTGCAATGACAGAATAAATCAGCCCATCACACTTTCAGAGGCGGGCTATCTATGAGATAAAAACATTTATAGCCTGTCTTGTATGGAACTGGCCTGTCAAATCATTTTGTGACACTAAAAACGGAAAAACTGAGTAACATACAGAACAATGATATAAACTTGAACTGAAAAATGAAAAAGGTGTTTGAATATAACTATCTTGTTTGGGCATGTCTGCTAACTGATTGCTAAGTTTAAAGAGTTTCCTTCCGCATTTGATTCTGCTTTATATCAAGTAGTTCCTTGAAATAACATCGGACATGCAAGTGACGTAAGTTGCAATACATTTGCTATGCTACAATCTTTACTCAGAGATACTAAGAAAATCAAGACTGGCAAAATGTAAGCAACCAAACAATTTATAGATTGGATATTTGTGTGAAGACCGTACACCAAGAAATGTTATCAAAACTTTTGCTATCAAACTACTTCTACAAACAATTGGACATTTTGTAAAATGACAAGGCGTAACAACGATATGATACTCTTTTATAAAACTATACAAATCAAGGTTTCAGTCCTCAAAGTTTATCCGACCCCAGCCATGCATGTTAATAAAGACAATGATAATTTTGATCAATATGGCAAAGACGAAAATTCTTTCTCATTTTTTTCAGGAACCTATGGAGCAGCACCCACCATGGTAAAGATGGCGATAAAGTTTGATAGCAAAAAAAGAAGCACAAGATAAACACAATTAACGATATTTATTGCAAAAAAGATAAAAAATTTAGAAATTACCTGACGACTCTACAAATTTGACGTAAGATGCAGCAATGTAAGACTTTCCCTTGGCCCAAGGATAATACTTCACGATTGTGCTACTGTCTGGAAGTGCCTGCGAAACAATGCCTATGATTGGCTCATTGTTACTGCATGCTTCCTTTATGGCAGCTTCGACAGGCCACATGAAGGCCAGGAACGCAACACTTGAAACACTGAAGACCAACATCAGAACCTTGATGGGATTTATTGCGATGATCGGTGCACTGAAAAAGCCAAAATACGTTTTTACTATATCAAACAAACTACAAGATTTAACAAACGTCAAATTTTGATTGACTGAGGAAGGAAAGGCCGCAGCGGGAGTTCTCGCAAAATGTAGCAAAGAAAAAAAGGAAGGGGAGATTTTGGAACTTTGACCACCTGTTCTTTAAAAACGTCACACTTCATCAGATAATCTTTCTTAGTAGATTTCACATCGTAATCATTTAATTATGCGCCTTTCTCAGAAGAGAGTCGCACTCTACTAGACGAGACGAATTTTTTCGCGCGAAGCGAATTTTTCGTCGCGAATGCGCGAAAAATTCCTACTCCTACTTTTTTAAAACCATTCCTACTTTTTCGCTGCGAAATTTCTCACCTTGTAAAATAAACCAATCAGAACATAATTTGAAGACATCTGACTTCTGTTTTGGTTTCAGATGGCCTACGTCTTTCCGCATTCTTTTTCTCTAACATTCTCGCCTTTAAAACGTCAATGAAAAAGGTTGGTAATTATTAATTTCCTGTTCTTCGTACACAATCCATGTAAATGGATTCACATCAGATTATTATCCAAACATTTGAATTTCAAATTGACGAAAACTGGCTTGAAAGTTTCATCGTCCTACCAATATGTCAGAAATAAAAAAAAATAGGCAAGAATTTCTTCAAATTGCTGCATTGTTGGCTGCTTATTGGCCTGCTCAACAGAAACAGTTTTAAGCAGATGCACTAACCGGATCTCGCATGCTCTTGCAAGCTTCGATAGCGACCTTTGAAAGTATTTGAAGAAGTTATCCTGGTCTTATAAATGTTAACGTAAGCCTCTCTTACCGAAAGATGGAATTCCCCCTTCTGAAGACGTCCGAAATAAATTTTTCTAATCCAGTATCGTTTTTTGCTGTTTTGCTCGCTTTTTCGATATTTTTAAAATTTTAAACTTGCTGATAAGAGCACTCTTCGGACAGTTGCTATATTCTTTTGTAATATTCGCAGCGAATTTGCATAAAAATTTCTGCTAGTGTAAATTGAACTTCGAATTCAAGAGAAAAATTTGCAGCTAAAAAATTCGTGGCGAAAAATTCGCTTCGCGCGAAAAATTCGTCAATCAGGCTTTAGAAAAGTCTGTGCCCTAGCGTTGATTGCATATTAACAGTCCATGGAATCATATGATACAAACGTAAGACCATAGGTGTGGAGGTTTATGTTTACCAGCAACCCCTCCTTTTGACTTCAGTTGTCCTATTTACCTGTTAATATTTGGAAAATTGTCCAAAATTCGTGGAATCTGAAGGGCTTTTTTTATAATGAATAAGCTCAGATTTGTGACAACCCCGGGAATTTCACCAGTTGAGCCCACTGCTGGGTTTCAACTATCCCAGAATCCTAGCATTCAAAATCTAATGTACGCACTGAAAACAAAACCAAAACTTTTATGCCATGTCCATTTTAATGTCAGAGAGCGCCCTTTTACAAACAAGGAACGCTTATCTTAGCAAAAGATAACTCCAACGCCACAACTTACTTTTGCTTACATAAAGGCAGTTTCAAAATCATAGAATCACATCACAAAGAGTAGCCTGCCAAAACATTTCTTCTACCCTAACCGTTCTCATCAAATTTAAACGATGTACAAAATCAATACTGCACAGAAAGATGGAAGCTAGGCCTTCCATTCTACAACCCCCCCCCCCCCCCCCCCCCAGCACCGCCATTGCACACTCTTGGGCACATAACTTATGCCCCAATTTTTAGCATTTGGAAAATTCTCCTACACCTTCTTGTTGAAATCCCCGTATTTTCCTCTCTTTTAGTTCGGTTCCCAAGAATATTTAAAACGTTTTTAAAAACTCTAAACCTGGCACTGCGGGCAGGAGGGTTTGGGGACGACAGGATAATTATTTCTGCCAAAAAGTAAAGAATTAAGAAATTAACTCAAGTCAAGCGTCATTTTATTGGGTTTTAGCCCCCTCTATGTTTCTCAACCATGGTCTTCTTGCCTTATTATGCAATGTTATTGATTCAGGGCCAGCGTATTGAGCTTCAAGATAGAGGGGCCAAAGAATAGAAATGTTGGTTTTCTATTTTATCAAAGCATCCAGCTTAAGCGCGCGGGGTCGTAGTTTTTAATCCTCCTTTGATACGATCCCTGGTTGATAAAATTTTATTCGTGTTTTATTCTGAGAAGTTGTGCCTGTGAATTTTCTGCTATTCGTTATAAACTTCAATGATTTTTTCAAGGAGAGTGAAACAGACCTACCAAGTCACACGCACTTTGCATGAGACACGCATTTCGGTCCTTTCTCACGCTCACACGCATCAAAGCAGAGTTCTCACGCATTTTGCAACAAACTTCTTTGTTCATTTAAAATTTTTGATTTTTGATTCCAAATCCTAGCAAAATCTCTCTTTCCTAACACGGCATGTTAACACGATAACAGCTACTAGATAATTAGGTTACTAGATAACAGCCAATCCGTACAGGTGATGTTACATTTATTGGCAAGCCTACACAAATAGCAGGTTAGCTTTTTCGCAACTATGACATATTGTGAATAGATTGGAAATGTAAAAGAGGAGCATAATAGCCCTTAAGTTAGAGTTTCAATTTAGCAATAGGAGCGGTAAGAGTGGAGTAACTTTTTCTCGAGAATGATATTTAGGGTTGCAGTTACACTACGATGCTCCTCCGCTTGCTTGTACGCCTGCATTCCTTCCTCTGCAGTCATGGTCCACAGTTATGTGCACTTTTGCAATCATTTGCGCAGCCCACGTGCACCAGAATAAATTATTTCATGGTTATGTACTGCTATAAATTTTTTTCTCAATAAAAACGGAATAGAATGGCGAAAAACAAAGCCCTTTCAATCCCCCCACCCTCTTCTGTGCGGTCTCTGCTCGAAAAGCCCTTTCCGAAGAACAAGAGGCGGTGGTAAAATAAAAGTTTTTAGGTCTACGCCCCTGGACCCTACTTTTGGTTTTGTGGCAGTCAGGATTCGTTCTTGACCATTTTCCCTTCCTTTTAAAAAATCTCACTCATTTTCAAAACTGAAACTTGATAGGTCTGGTGAAACGAAAAATGATATGGGGTCTACAACATAATAATCATTTAATTTGGCTAATCTTACTACACTTCGTGTAACTAACTA